TAATAATTGAAAGTTGAAACGATGAATATTTTTTTTTTGCTAAGTTGATAATGTATGTATGATATTTAATTAATTAGAAAAAGATGGGACATTTTATTCTTAGAAGCAACTAATCATTTAGCCCATGACTTGATGTCATATAAGAGTCAAAATTAATGGGCAATTTGTAGCAGACTATGATGCACGTAGCCCATGGATAGCAACTAGCATTTTATCATGTGGAAGAAAAATATGTAGCTACATTATGTCCCTTTTAAGTTTTAATCAATTTTGTACCGTGTCTCTTATTTCTTTCATGTGGTGCATGTGTATTGTTTGGCCCACACTGTAGTAAATTAAAATGACTTTTCTGATATATTGTTTAAATTCTACTATTTAATATGTTTATCTATCAACTTCCTTCAATTTGGTGGCTTGCAATGTTATTCATAAGTTGATGTAGTGTTTATTGTCGAAAAATTAGACTTAGTTTATTGTGAATTAACAATCTATTTTTTATATATATACAACTACAAGTACTAATTACAATAACTGAACAAATTTTTTTTTATAAATATTACTTCAAATTTTCATCACCAGTCCAAATGTAGCATTCCGAATCAATATCTTACTATACAAATATAAATTTAGAATGTATTGATTTGTATACTAATTTTAAATCATTCTCTCGTATAGGTAAAATGTCATTAATTATTCCTGATAAGTGGATGATCCAATTCCAAATTGGTTGATATTCTCCTCAATGATTGAAACAATTATCGGAGTTCATTTGTTCAAGCAGGTTATGATGTTTTAAGAAATATACTGAAGCAGGTTAATTAACATACTTCAAAAGTAATTTTTCATAAAAGTAAACTTAAACAAATGAACTCTTATTAAATGGTGTAGGACATTACTTTTTCTTTCTTTTCTAAAAAAAAAGATAAAGTTTTTAAAAAATGTTCCTTTTTTTGAGAAATAAATTATTCCATATCAACGGCATAGTTCTAGTTTTGGTGGAAGTGACCTGAAATTCAGAGATCTTCCTTTTCCGTTGTTAGGCATACTTCATACACAGGGACAGAACTAAAAAAAAATATTAGGAGAAAAAAATTTATCACATGATAAAATTAACAATAACTAGGGGTGAGCATTAAACCGACACCCGAACCGAACCCGAAAAATCCGAAAAAAAATATTGCTTTTGGGTGGGTTCGGGCGGGTCTTATGGGTAAATCGGGTTAAAATTTTGATTTTATATGGGTTATATTGGGCGGGTTCGGTTTTGAATTTTTAAATCCGCTAAAAACCGAACCCAACCGAAAATGAGATAAGTTTAAATTTTTATTACTTTTGTATAACTAAACAACAATGGTCCAAATTTAAAAGTCTTTATTTCAAGTATAATATAGCCATCAATTTGTAACTTATTTTTTTCCTTTTTCTCATAACTTAGATATTTATTTTGTCTTCTCCTTCCTCATTCAACTTCTCAACACACTAGTCCATTTTTAGAGTTATCTTTTTGCTTCTTTCTTTGTCTTTCTTTTCCATCTTCTTATCTCCATTTTGAGTACATTTTGTGTGACTGTGATTTCTTATGGTTTTGTAATCTAACTTTATATTTCTTTTCCATGTAACAACTATGAATTTTGTTATCTTTTATTTTTGCTTCTTTAGTTTGTAAATGTTTCAACTACGAATCTATTTACACCATCTATTGTCACCTTCATTCTATTTTTATACACTATTTTAAAAATATTTTTTATCGTTTTAAGCTTCATCTTCGTTAAGATAAATTGGTCTACAAAAAAATTCAAACCCGATTATACCCACCCGCTTAAATCCGAATCCGTTTCAACCCGAACCGCCTCAAATAAAAAACTCAGTCAGTCGGATATGGGTCACATTTTTTCAAAGTCGATTTACAACGGGTTGGACATTTTTCACCCGAACCCGACCAAACCCACTCGTTGCTCACCCCTAACAATAACTACTCAAATATTATATATCTCATGAAAATAAATATAATTACTTTTAGTACTAATAAAATACATTAAAAAAATCTTATTAGATATTAAAATTATGATATACTTCTATTTTTATTTGATAAAGACATAATTTTTTTTATAACAATAAATATAATTGCCGCGTAATAATTGTTTTTCCATCAAATAGATATAGACAATACATGAGTGTAAATTATCATATAAATGTATATTTCATATTTGTATGATACTTAATTCTAAAAGAGTTAAAAAAAGTTAATCATGAATTTTGAGAGTTTCATGTATTGATGAAACATTAAAATTTAGCAACAATATTCCATAATTTTCCTGGATAACAAGAAAATCAAAACCTAAAGTGAAGTATGGATGTCGTGGAAATGAAGAAGTTCAAGCAGCAAGGAGAATTAGATGACAACTAACGTGTAGAAAGAAAAATTAAACTAAAAAATTAAATTTTAAATTTTAAATTACAATATTTAAAGTAAAGATATTTTTGTTATAAGTTTTTTTTTAATTTAAAAACTTTTTCTTATAATTTCTAAAGTGATCTATAGAAAGTTTTTAAATTTAAAGATTTTTTAAATTTTTATAAACGTAAAGATTTTTTATTACAATTTTTTTTAAAAATAACTGCAACCATCTCTTAAGTCTTTAATATGTACGACGCGGGTAATATGTTAGTTGCGGCATGTTATTTTGAGAGGGGTTAATCAGTTGCAAGGAGTTAATTAGTTGTCTAAGTGAGATGCTCACTAGTTGTGTTTTTTGGGATTTTGGGGAGGGGTGCAATTTTATTTATTTATTTATTATTAATTAATTAATAGAATAAATACAAATATTATATATACAAATGAAAAAGAAGCACCGTAATCCTTTATGTATTTTATTTAAATAAAAATAGTTATGTGAATAGTCATTAAATATAAAAATAATCATTGATCAAAGATTGTGTGTAAAAATGAAAAGAAGAAAAAATGTTCTTAAAAAACAAACAACTAAATAACTAATATGTTGTGAGATCCCTTTTTCCCTCTTTTCTTTCCTTCACTATCCCTCACTCCCTTCACTCTCAAACACTCACTTTTCTCATCCTTTCTGATGGTACTTCTCCTCATTTTGCTGTCTTTAGGTGGTGGTGCGGAGTAGCTTCAGGATTTGCTAGCTGAGTAACTGGGATTTCTTTTCTCCTCCTTCCTCCGTTCATTCTCCACTTCTCCTTCATTGTCGTCTTCCTTCCCGAAGCTCAGAGCCGTTGAACCGAGGTAAGGGAAGCTAGTTGTTTTACTGCGTTTGGCTAAGACTGAGTGTGTATACTCATTTGCTGTTGGATGATTGCTGGCTTTTGAGCAGAGATGGCTGAAAAATGGGATTTGGGGTTTTTCGGGGTTTTGAGAAAAATTTGGGGATCTTCTTATTTTGTTGTTGCATGTGTAAAAAGGTAGTATTTTTGGACTATTGGATGAAACTGTGGTAATTTGAACCGATTGCATGTGGAGTTTTCTGATTATTTTGCAGATTTTTGAAGAGTTTTCGAAAGTATGAGGTTTGCTGTTGATCTCGCGCTGAGCGCAGTTCTTCGCGTCGGGCGCGTGGCCACCTAAGGGCAGCATTTAGGCAAGCCCGTCGGGCGCAAAGATGTGTGCGCCGGGCGTGCTTGAAAATGTTAGCCTCTGGATGGCCCACGCCGGGCGAGGGTTGAACCGCGTTGGGCGCGATGTCAGTTGTGACTCGTTTTTGGGCTTCTAGCATGGCGCTGAGCGCGATTTTGGTCGCGCTGGGCGCAGGGACTCCTTGGAGTCTCTGCCATGGGAGGCGCTGGGCGCAATTCAAATTGCGCTGGGCACGAGACCAAGGGAGGTCTCTGCCTTCCCCACGCTGGGCGCGGGTTTGGGCACGCCGGGCGCGAGAGACTCCTTGGAGTCTCTGTCTGGCATGCGCTGGGCGCAACTATTTATTGCACCAAGCGCGTGAGAGCTTTGGGCTCTCTGGTTGAGTCCCGCTGGGCGCAGGCATGCTTGCGCCGGGCGCGCTGGCCCCCGGATGCTCTCTGGTTGTATTGCGCTGAGCGCAACCATGAGTGCGCCGGGCGCATAGATGATAATTCATTATATCCTGAATTGAATTGAGATGGATGAATATAATGTGATGACTAGTAGATAATGTTGTTACTGATGTTGAGTTGTATCAGTTGTATATTGATGTAAGTTGATATGTTGAGTTGTATCAGTTGTATATTGTTGTAAGTTGCTGCGTTGAGCTGTAAAGTTGTGTTGTGCTGTATGTTGATATTTGATGTTGTAGGCTGCAAGGCTGAGTTGATGTAGGCCGAAAGGCTGAGTTGTTGTAGGAGATCTCTGAGTGGATATGCGTGACGACGCATTGTATGCTTATTGATGATTATGCCGTAAAAATCGACGAGATGTATGTTGATGAAGTGTTGATAGTTGTAGTTGTTTATACTACTTAAATCTTCCTATATGTTGTTCTTTTTATGCTAGCTTACCCTTTTGTTGTTTCTATGTGGTGGAACTGCGATGATCATACTATGTATAGGAGCAGAGCAGGGATAGGTGGTGGCTAGTGGTGAGTCTGCAGCTGGCAGGCAGAGCTGTCTCCTATTGATGTTTTGTTTGTTTCAGCTACTTGGCATAGTGACTTTGGATGTATTTTTGTATTGTACACCCTAACTCTAGTCGGATTGGGACATTTGTATATATTTATATTCTAGATCCTATATTTATATACTCGTTCTATTCTATGGAGTGTTTCCGGTGCGCTGTGGTTGTGAGTGTAGTGGCCAGTTGGGGCGTTACACTTTAGTGGGATCAGAGCAGGTCGAGTCTAGTGGACACTCTTTGGGGGGGGTTCCTTTAGGCTTTTGTTGTGTTAGCTCTGTGTTGTGCTGTCTTTTTGTGTTGTCTGTTGTGTTGATTGATGCGATGAATTGTTGTGTTGCTAATTGTTGTTTGGTTGAGTGGTAGTATATTAAAGAAGCTGTTATTTTTGTAGACGATGACTAGAACCAACGAACAAATAGCCCGTGCCATAGAGATGATGGCTATGGCTATGCAGCAGTAAAATGCTTATTTTTCTCAGATGGAAGTTGAAAGAGTTGCAGCTGGTGCAGCAAGGCCCACGGGGTCACAGGAGAGCCGGGACCTAGCTGAGTTCCGGAAGTGTCATCCTCCACAGTTTGTGGAAGATGCAGACCAAAGGCAGCTGACCGCTGGATATGTGAGTTGGAGAAGATTTTTGCCGTTCTGGGATGTTCTCCAGAGAAGAGGTTGGCATATGCTGTGTATATGCTTGTGGGAGAGGCCGAACATTGGTGGAGGGGCACTTATCAGATGCTTGTGGCGAGAGGAGTTACAGTTGACTGGGAGTGCTTTAGGACAGTGTTCATGGAAAAGTATTTCCTGGAGAGCGTGAGGCACGCCAAGGAGGCGGAGTTCATGTGGTTACACCAGGGAGGGCTATCTGTATCAGAGTATGCGATGAGATTCGAGCATTTGGCTCGTTTTTATTCACAGGCTATTTCTGAGGCCTGGAAGTGCAGAAAGTTTGCTGAGGGTCTGAAGTATGAGTTAAAGAAGGTGGTGGTGCCTATGGCCATCACCGAGTTTCCTGCATTAGTAGAGAAGGCGAAGATTGTGGAGAGGTTGGAAGGGGGTAACCGTGTGATCAGAGCTACTAAGGGACCAGCTGGGTCCAAGAGGGGAGGTGGAAGTCAGAGGAAGCCGTATGATAGGCCCCAACCACAACAAGGGGGTCCTGTCATCAGGCAGCCTGCTGAGACTACCAGAGGAGGAGGACAGGGTGGAGGTGTTGTCCTTAGGTGTTATAGGTGTGGTGGATCCCATTTGATCAGGGATTGTCCATACACTGAGAGCAGATGTTTCAGATGTCAGCAGATGGGCCATGTGTCTTTAATTTCAACTGTCCCACTAGGAGTAGACTAGAGAGGAGTACTCAGAGGAGTGATGCACAGAGAGCTGATACTCAGAGGAGTAGTGTGCAGAGGGTTGAGACTCAGAGGGGTGACAGACCCACTACAGCTGGTAGGGTATTTGCTTTGACAGGTACTGAGGCTTCAACTTCTTCTGACCTAGTGAAGGGGAAGGGCAAGGCTGCTGGTAAGGATGTGATGCTTTTGTTTGACTCTAGGGCTTCCCATTCATTTATTTTCTATGCTTGTGTTGCTATGCTGGGTGTGCCTGTGTGTGACTTGGGGTTGAGACTGTTAGAGTCAACACCCGCTTCTGCTTCAGTAGTTGCTTCTGAGCTGTGTGCTAACTGCCCTATTGTTGTGAATGGGAAGAAGTACAAGGTAAACTTGATTTGTTTGCCTTTGGTTGATATTGACATAATCTTAGGGATGGATTGGTTATCTACCAATCGTATCCTTATAGATTGTGCCAATAGGCAGTTGATCTTTCCACAGGAAGATGATGAGTTGTTGATTTCAGCTGGTCAAGCCAAATCAATGCTGATGGATGGAGCGGAGTGCTGCCTTCTGCTTGCTATGATGAGTGTGGAGACTGAGAGGGTCATTTCTGAGATAGATGTGGTGAGAGCCTTTGCTGAGGTGTTTCCTGATGAGTTGCCTGGGTTGCCTCCTGTTAGGGAGATGGAGTTTAGCATTGATCTAGTTCCAGGTGCGGGGCCAGTGTCGGTGGCTCCCTATAGGATGGCTCCTACCGAGCTGGTTGAGTTGAAAGGTCAGCTGGAAGACCTATTGGAGAAGCAGTTGGTGCGGCAGAGTTTCGCTGTGGGGTGCTCCATCCAGACTTTGATCATGTATATGTATATATTTTAGACCCTATATGTATACACTTGTTCCTTTCTGTGTGGTGTTTCTAGTGTGCTGTGCGGTGTGTAGTGACCAGTTGGGTCGTTACATGTATCATAAGAAATATATTATTTTTTATATTTTAAATCTCAACTTAGCATTTAATTGTATTAAATATTTAAAAAAAGTTTTATTATTTATAATTGTACTAATTAATTCGAATAAGATTACATTTGGTAAAAGAGACAAAAAAAAAACACCTCTAACTTTGTAGGATAATTTTTCCTTTTTTTTTTATCTATTAGAATTACAAATACAATAACAAAATTTAGACCTTAAATCTTGTACATATTACTCCTCATCATTAGGTTGACTTTAGTGGTCAATTTTTTCTTTTCCTTTTTGTGCAAGTTGGAATCATGTAAGAAGGTTGTGTTTAAAATGTCAAAATGAAATTGGGTACGCCAATTGGCTAATTCTAGCCTACTAAGTCTTAAGGGCTTTTTATTCTATAAATTTTGGATATTATTATTGTAACAATCCAATAGGTCACTACACTTAATATAGTATATTTATTATGCAACAAAAATCATAAAATAATCAATTGCACTAGATTTCCCATGCAACAATCACCTGGATATTCATCCAACATATATATGTATAGGATGCATAAAACTTAAAGCAGTTTATGTCAATATAACTTAAAACATAAACCTTATCGATAATCAAGCATCTATACACAATCATACTTCATCAAAGTAGTATACTTAAAATAGGTCATTTTCAACATGCCCTCCACCCATAAGACAACCATTCAAGCTAATCTTACTGTACTCCTATACCAAATATGATCATTACAATTCAACTACAAGACAAAGAAAAGGTAAGCTTGTCAAAGAATCAACATAGCAAAAAGTAATGAATCTACAACTTATACAACATAAACAACTTAAACAACATCAAGCTAGTTCATAGCACAACATCAACTTAGTATCATCAGTTATAACTTTCAATCATCATATACATCTTACAACATGAACAACTTTAAATAATAAATACATTGTCGCACATATCAACTTATGGAGATCTCCTACAACAAAGGTGATCCATTTAAGTGAGTTTGACTTACTGAATCACTACATATAACTTATCACAATCAGGTCAAGTAGATACAACTTCAGGCCTCCCTATGCACCTGGTAAAAAACTTAAATTGATTTCTTAAGTTTCACTACTTAAACTAAGAAAGTCTAGTATTACTATCAGGATAGAACAACTTAAGTGTGAGTCTACCACGACCTTAGCATACATATCAAAGTCTCACATAGAATTATTCCACTAATTATCCACCAAATACTACGTATCTTTCTAGCAACCAGTTAAAGATTTTACCCCTCAACTTCATACCTTAATCAGTTGTATATATACAAAATTTTATATTAATTCAAAATGATTTGATATTTCATTCTTCTATAACAAAATTGACATAATATATTTATTTTAAAATATATTAAAATATAAACACTTTGATTCCCTTCAAATTGTTGCTCAATTTTAACAAAATTTGATATATACATATAAAGTAATATGAACTTTCAATCTAACGGTTAGATTTAAAAAATTCACAATTAATATAAAGTTATTAAGCTGTGTAATACTTGGTAAAAGTTACACCGATGTTATTATAACACTCCTCTATATAATTTTTATTAAGTATTATACCGTTCAATAATTTTATATTAAATGTGAATTTCATAAATTCAACCGGTGTAACTTTTATTAAGTTATTGAACAATTAGCCTTCTAGTATTATTTCCGACCGAGATCCGAGGTTCACTTTCATATTTTGGCAGAGTCTACAACAAGCCTTAGGCACGAAGTTGAAGCTGAGATTTGCTTATCATCCGTAGACGGATGGTCAGTCAGAAAGAACGATCCAGTCCTTAGAAGATCTGCTTAGGGCTTGTGTGTTAGACCACTTGGGTAGTTGGGAGGAGGTCCTACCGTTGGTTGAGTTCACCTACAACAACAGTTTTCATGCAAGCATTGGGATGGCACCATTTGAAGCGTTGTATGGCAGGAGATGTAGGACTCCTCTGTGCTGGTATTAGGATGGTGAGTCAGTGGTGGTAGTTCCGGAGCTAATCCTACAGACCACTGAGAAAGTGAAGATGATTCATGAAAGGATGAAGACTGCTCAGAGTAGGCAAAAGTTGTATGCTGACAAGAGGCGCAAGCCTTTGGAGTTTGCTGAGGGGGAACATGTGTTTCTGAAAGTGACTCCGACCTCTGGTGTGGGTAGAGCGCTGAGAGCAAGGAAGTTGACACCGAGGTTTGTCGGTCCCTATCAGATAATACAGTGTGTGGGTCTAGTTGCTTATCGGTTGACTTTGCCACCGTCTCTTTCAAACCTGCACGATGTGTTTCATGTCTCCCAGCTGAGAAAGTAAGTTCATGACCCGAGTCATGTGGTGGAGCTAGATGATGTGCATGTGAAGGAGAACTTGACTTTTGAAAAGTTGCCGGTAGTTGTAACAGATCGAAAACTGAAGGAGCTGAGGGGCAAGTCTATTACCCTGGTAAAAGTATTGTGGGATGCAGCTACTGGTGAGGCTACTTGGGAGGTGGAACAGCTGTTCAGGGAGCGTTATCCATTTCTTTTCCCGAGTAAGTCTATTTTCGGGGACGAAAACTTTTGTTGTTGGGGAGGTTGTGAGACCCCTTTTTCCCTCTTTTCTTTCCTTCACTATCCCTCACTCCCTTCACTCTCAAACACTCACTTTTCTCATCCTTTCCGTTGGTACTTCTCCTCATTTTGTTGTCTCTAGGTGGTGGTGCGGAGTAGCTTCAGGATTTGCTAGCTGAGTAACTCGGATTTCTTTTCTCCTCCTTCCTCCGTTCATTCTCTACTTCTCCTTCATTGTCGTCTTCCTTCCCGAAGCTCGGAGCCGTTGAACCGAGGTAAGGGAAGCTAGTTGTTTTACTGCGTTTGGCTAAGACTGAGTGTGTATAGTCATTTGCTGTTGGATGATTGCTGGCTTTTGAGCAGAGATGGCTAAAAAATGGGATTTGGGGTTTTTCGGGGTTTTGAGAAAAATTTGGGGATCTTCTTATTTTGTTGTTGGATGTGTAAAAAGGTAGTATTTTTGGACTATTGGATGAAAATGTGGTAATTTGAACCGATTGCATGTGGAGTTTTCTGATTATTTTGCAGATTTTTGAAGAGTTTTCGAAAGTATGAGGTTTGCTGCTGATCTCGCGCTGAGCGCAGTTCTTCGCGCCGGGCGCGTGGCCACCTGAGGGCAGCATTTAGGCAAGCCCGTCGGGCGCAAAGATGTGTGCGCCGGGCGTGCTTGAAAATGTTAGCCTCTGGATGGCCCACGCCGGGCGAGAGTTGAACCGCGTTGGGCGCGATGTCAGTTGTGACTCGTTTTTGAGCTTCTGGCATGGCGCTGAGCGCGATTTTGGTCGCGCTGGGCGCAGGGACTCCTTGGAGTCTCTGCCATGGGAGGTGCCGGGCGCAATTCAAATTGCGCTGGGCGCGAGACCAAGGGAGGTCTCTGCCTTCCCCACGCTGGGCGCGGGTTTGGGCACGCTGGGCGCGAGTGACTCCTTGGAGTCTCTGCCTGGCATGCGCTGGGCGCAATTATTTATTGCGCCAAGCGCGTGAGAGCTTTGGGCTCTCTGGTTGAGTCCCGCTGGGCGCAGGCATGCTTACGCCGGGCGCGTTGGCCCCCTGGTGCTCTCTGGTTGTACTGCGCTGAGCGCAACCATGAGTGCCCCGGGCGCATAGATGATAATTCATTATATGCTGAGTTGAATTGAGATGGATGAATATAATGTGATGACTAGTAGATAATGTTGTTGCTGATGTTGAGTTGTATCAGTTGTATATTGATGTAAGTTGATATGTTGAGTTGTATCAGTTGTATATTGTTGTAAGTTGTTGTGTTGAGCTGTAAAGTTGTGTTGTGCTGTATGTTGATATTTGATGTTGTAGGCCGCAAGACTGAGTTGTTGTAGGCCGCAAGGCTGAGTTGATGTAGGCCAAAAGGCTGAGTTGTTGTAGGAGATCTCCGAGTGGATATGCATGACGACGCATTGTATGCTTATTGATGATTATGCCGTAAAAATCGACGAGATGTATATTGATGAAGTGTTGATAGTTGTAGTTGTTCATACTACTTAAATCTTCCTATATGTTGTTCTTTTTATGCTAGCTTACCCTTTTGTTGTTTCTATGTGGTTGAACTGCGATGATCATACTATTTATGGGAGCAGAGCATGGATACTCTACTCTCATATCACATATAATTATCATAATCCAAATTATATGAAAATATCAACAAGTTTTTCACATTGTCACATCTTCATCTTATCTCATCTCTAACACTATCAACATACATCATCACAATACAACCAACATATATCATCATGAACAATTCAAACATCATAATATTAATAATTCAAATTGTTCGTCATAACAACATAGTATTTATAACACTACAATTACATGTGTTATCATGTATTTTAACTATGAGATCTCCTATAATACTGAATGAATAGTTTAAGTGGTTTGACCCTACTAAATCAATAACACAAGGTGATATTTTTGACTTGTTAGATCAACAACAAATTAGATATTAATCCATAACACAGTAACTTGATTTCTCAGATTCCACTACTTAAATTAATTATTTATGATTTTATTAATATAAAATTTTTAATCTTCTATTTAAATTAACTATTTGTAATTTCCTTATATTTTTAATACTTTTCATTTCTATATTTTATTTTTTTTAATAAAAATTCTCACATAAAATTTACTTATACAAAATACTTATTAATATGAAATTTAATAAATACAATAAATTTTTCCAATTAGTGGCACATTACTGGGGGAGACATTTTTAAAGTTGATTATTTTAGACGTTTAAAGTTGATTATAGAACCATCGTAAATGGGACTAATGTAAAAATAGAGATATTTATGGATTAAATTTTTAAAAAATTTAAACTAAACAGATTTATTTTATAAAAATTGATCGATTAATTAATTATTTTTTATAGAGTGGAATAATTCTTTTTTTAAATATGAATCAAATTTTTTAAAATTAGATCGATTTGGTGTAATTACTTACTTTTTATTCATGTATGAATCAATTTTAAAAAAAAATTGAACTGAATTGATCTAATTTCTAAAAATGAATTTAATAAGAATGTTTTTATATAATTAATCTCAAACATCTATTATCTTTTATTTAAAAATTTGTTAATTAAATAGTCGTATTTTAAAAAAATATAATTAATACAACTAAGTATTAGAAGAATATATTATAAAGAAGGACAAGTAAAAAAAAAATCGTATATATGTAGGTAGTATAAGAACTGATGCAGTAAAATTTATGGTATTTATAAAACATGTGTATGTTCGAAGTGACACAACAGACTTAAATATCACGCAGCAGAACATTTTTTTTTCTTCGAATTTTCAAACTTGATTGGGTAAAGCTAATATAAAATACATTATACAGCATACATTCTCTTGCTTTAAGGCTAAATATAAAATATCAGACAAACACACTTGATTGGCTTTATATGTGTCTGAACTGAAATATGCGTAAGATTACTCTCTGGGGAAGAATATCCATTGTGATTTTACACTAATTAATTATAGAGAGCAGATGATGCAAGTTGCATGGATAAGGAATATGAATATAGCAGGAGTAGGAGTAGGTAGGTTAGTGGTTTAGAGACAGATTAGGAGCCACGATTTGCGGGATTTGGACAAAATGTGAATCACCACATGTTCTCTCAAATCCAAGCTGCCGCAACAAAGGATTCCGGCTCTGTCAGGTGTGGAAATGATCAGGATTTTGTTTCTCTCAAATCCTTCCACACTTTCAATATATTTATTTCTTTAATCAAATCTTACAAGTTACAACATAAATCCAGGTTTTATTCCTAATTATATCCCTATGTGAACTTATCTTATGTATCCCCTTGCAAAAGTTAAAACAATAATTTCTCAAGAAATTCATATCCAAATTATTAGGATTAGTATAGTGAGAAAAAATTTAGTATTTTTTCATATTAACGTATTTAAAAACCAAATTCCTAATCATAAAATAAAATTAGAACATAAATATTAAATGAAAAATGGAAAAAAAAATCACAATTAGAAAAATACTTTATATATATATATATATATATATATATGAGTTAATCATCCATACACTGTTAGTGTAAAAAAATTTATACTGACAAC